TTTTTTTTGTAGCAGGAACTCCTTTCCATGTTAGGCCACACACCCCTAATGTAGCCAATCTGAATGAGTTTCTGCTGTTGGGTGTGGCCTATTATGCTAATGAGTTCCTGCTGGGCGTGGCCAACTCGGGAGCCAGCTGGAACTCCATTCCTTCGCGTTCCTGCCCAAAAATAGCTCTGAATGAAGTAAACAAATAAAATATTGTGTGTTACTATTGAGGAGTACAGTCTGAGCATCTTATTACCCTCTTAAGGTTATAATCTCTGTGCCAAAAATAACACAGTAGAGCCACATACCTCTGTGTGTATTACACTGTGTCCAGTCATCCGTAGTTTGGTTATGCCTTAGTCATTTGCTTTAGAAATTTGGCAGTGCGTGTATTTTCCATTGTGCAAAGTGTGCAGTTCAAGAACAAAAGCAGAGTCAATAGAATGCAAAGAAACATCAAAACCTATTGTTGAATCATCTGAAAAACTCTTTAATTTCCTTTAGTTGGATAATAAATACATGACCACAGCTTAAATGCTTTTATTGATTAACAACAAAATTACAACTTTCAAATGTTGCTTTTCAGAGGCGACCCAAAAATAAATTATTTATGAATTTTCAGATACCTAAGTAGAAGTCTTCAAAATGAAACTACCTTTATTTGCTATTTTAGCTCTTTAGTAAGAAAAATATATTACTGGAAACAAAACTAAGCTGAAAATGTTTAATCTTTCTCTCTTTTTTCCCCATTCTGACACCTGGGGCTATGTTTCTATAGCAAGGACATTGTAAATGTGTTCCTGTCTCTGCATAATTAAAAGCTGCTCAAGGTCAAACTTTGCATAAATGTGTGTTCCTTTTAAAACATATTGTTCTTTGTTGGTTTTCTGGCAAACAATGAGTTTTCGCTTTAAGAAAACCAGAATTTACAGCACTTGGGGGGAAAATTGTATACAGATAAAGGTTGCACGTTTATAAGCATAATTAAATATGATACGAATATACATCACTAGTGGAACTGATTTATACACACATTAATTCATAGTTACATGGCAAGTTACTGACACCATTTGCTTGTCCTCCGGTGAAGGTTGCCACCCGCCTTCACTCACATTTTGCCTTCCCCACAGTTTCCTCCATGGATCAGAAACTCATGGAGATATCAACATGTCTAGCTTGCCCAGTTTTTGTGTTCCAGAAGCAGCATGGCTGCCACTTCCCATATGATTCTGTTCCATCCTGGGTACTCCAGTTCTGTAAGAATGTAGATATCACAATGAAAGGGCAAGTCATGTGGGATGAACCACGCTCATATCCCTCTCCCATTCCAATAATCCGGCCTCCTGACATTGCCATGATTCTGTGTACATGATTCAGCCCTTCCATGTGGTTCCTGCATTCTTACGTATGAAATGGGGACATGAGGGGAGCAGCAGCAACACTAATCTAGTGACATAAGAATCAGACCACTTTGTCCTTTGTTAGATTTAACATATGTGGCTATACATTCCATCAGTAAGTGAAACTTTTAAACTTCTGCATTCAAACGCTTCTTTTGTTAACCTGTACTGTGGCAGAATGTGCCCACTCTGTCCTGCAGGCACCGTTCTGCCTTCCCCTCCTAGGGGTTGCCAACTCCCTGGAGGGGTTTTTCCCTTTTACTGTCCAGTAGCCACTACCACCACCTGTTCAATATAGGGGTTTCCCACTGAAGGGAACAGGACCCTCGGCTCCCTTTCCAAGCTCAGATGCCTTGCCTCAGTGTCTCCTGCTAGCCCAGTGCCTGGCTACCACGGGGACAGATTAATGCCTGGTGCGCCCCAGGAAAATAGCCCACTGCCAACTGCTTGCCTCCCCCCCCTTCCTGGGCTCCCTTTTAAAACAGTGTGTCCAAAACAGTGGGTGTCTGTGTGGTACAGAGAACCACTTCCAGAACCAGAAGTTTAAAGTGTTAATTAAAAAGAAAATGTTTACAAGCATATTTTTAGCACAATGCCAGAATAAAGCAAGGAAGAACCCCCCCCCAAAAAAAATGGTAACACAAAAAACCTCTGTCCCTTTCTCTAAAACATGCCCTCAATACCAGAATAAAGCAAGGAAGGAACCCCCCCCCCCAAAAAAAAATTGGTAACACACAAATCCTCTGTCTCTCCCTCTAAAACATGCCCTAACTAGATGTTAAAATTAGGACAGGCTCTTTATCTTAGGTGTCCTAGTTCTCTAAAGATCATCTGTTACCATGAGGGTTGGTCCAGCTCTTCAGGCTAGCTGCCTGGTCCAAACATGGCTGCCTGTTACCAGCCCCAGACAAGAGGTCTGTTTAGCTCAGCATCCTAAAGAAAGAGAGACTGCCTTCCCCTTGCAAGGCGGTTTTAACAAACCTGTGTCTCTGCCCCCTTGACCCTAGTCAGCCCAGGTCAAGGCTTCTTTTCCTGTTGTCTCCAGGGAGTTACTTCCTCAAGCCTCTCTAGAATTTGACACCCCCAGCTCTCTATTCCCTGCCAGAAGAAGGAGGGAGAGGAGGGGGATGACCAACCATTCCTTTGTCTAAATCCATTAGCATCTGTGTGCAGGTGAGATGATGTGCCAGGGAATGGACTTCTTCCTCTGACTAGAGAGAAAAAAGAACAACAACTGGTAAACCACTTAGGGAAGCCCTGCTCGTTGCCAGCCTCGTTGCCAGACTAGGCATTTCCCCATGTGTACAAATCAAGATCCCTTCTGTCTAAATATGTGCTTTGCTCCTTTTGGCTGTGGAGCCATGACAGTTTAGGCATTTAGTATCTCTTGGGAGAGAAACCAGAATGTGAAAGGAGAAAATAAAATATGTGGATGATCATTGGAAAAGATGCTGAATGCTTATTGCGCTAGAAAATATTGCATATATTGAATAATTTAAGCCATGCTCTGTATTGCATAGCTTTGCTTCTTGTTATATGTGATGTAAATGTAATTGTTTGTTTGTTTGTTTTCAGGTATGGTTGGATTGAAACCTATTGTGAAACAGATCAGAAGTAAGTGCTGTTAATTAACAATGCAAAAGTAGTTTACTTGTGTTGTAGTGGGGGACATCTGGTTCATTCTGAATGCTGTGTGCATTGTTTGGTTTGTTTGTGATGGTGAAATGTATTAACACCCCCCCCAGCAGAATGTTGTCATTTTTCAGCAAGCTGCTTACCCACATCCATCTGTAGACATAACAACAACCGAAAAAACACCATCCACAGTTTTATTAATGCATACTTACAAAGCAGGATATGTGCATATGAATGCTAGTTTGCATGCTGGGTTATTTTTTCTTTTAGTGTTTGTAAACTACTTCAGATCCTGTCAGTATTCCTTTGAAATTTACTGTAACCTTTGAAACCAGTTTCTTACTCTACTGTCACTCTTGTTTGCAAAGGACAATAGAGGCCATGTTGGGGGGAGGACACACATACTAGAGCAAGGGAATAACAGAACAGTAGGACAGCGAGCTTCTGAAAAACAACAATTACTACAATTACAAGTGGAAAGATCCCTTTAGAGTTTGTGGGGGGGAAATCTCTTCCAGGGTAAATATTTGTTAAATATTTGCAAAAAGATCAACAAGAGACTTGATACTTAAAGCTTCTACTGCCACAACATTAAAAATCCAAGAGGAAAAGATAAAAATACTGAAAGATGTTCCATTTGAAATACGTAAGAAGAGGAAGCAATACAGAAACATTACAACATTTCTGCAAAAGAACAATGTCCAATATCAATGGATTTTACCAGAAGGTCTTATAGTCAACTACAAAGAGAAGAAGGAAAAGATTGAGTCTCTCTCAAAAGCAGAAGCATTCCTGAAGCAGCATCAAACTCCGACAAAAAAAAGAAAAGAAGCAGAGGAAAAGAAGGCGACAGAAGAAAGCAGCGATCATCAGGTGTCAGCCACTGACAGCTCCTCTTCTACCTCGGTGTCCCTGGGTGAAATCTTTGACTTTGATTTTGATTTGGGAGCTACTGCCCCCAGATCTTATAAGGTTAAAATCCCCTGGCAAAAGAAGAAGAAGAAGCGCAAAGACATCCAAATGAAGATCTGAGATTTTTCTATGTTAACATTTAAAGAATTTGTATTATTGCCCATATGCGATACTAAAATTAAGAATTTTTTGTTCTTTCTATTTGAATACTTATTACTCAGAAATTAAATGATATATTGTAAACATGAATATGTAGAGAAACTTCCAAAGCGCAAGATATATGTAACTTGCTACTCTGAATTTGTAGTGTGTAGTTTTGTAGTTTATAGTGAAAAGCAATTAAAAAAATCTAAAAAAAAACAAAAAAAAGAATAGTAGGTCAGTGTGGTGGTTTATGATTCCAGTTTTAGGATGGACATTATGTTTGGTCCCCACCCTTTTACAGATTATAGCCACCGAAGCTGTAGTTTCTAGGGGTGGAAAGGAGGGAAGATGCTTTCTATTTTCCCCTCCCCTGCTTTCCTCTGCTGAAACCCAGGACTTCCAACCTGCTTTTTGATTACTTGTTTTTAATACTGATATGGATAGCCCAGGCTAGACTGATCTCATCCAACCTCAGAAGCTAAGCAGCGTCAGCCCTGGTTGGTACTTGGATGGGAGACCAACAAGGAAATCCAAAGTTGCCAAACAGAGGCAAACAATGGCAAACCGCCTCTGAACATCTCTTGCCTTGAAAACCCTGTGGGGTCGCCATGTGTTGTTTTTACTTGTAAGCCACCTTGAGCTCTGGAGAGCTGGCATATAAAATCCCTAAATAAATGTTTCCAACACTGGGGCGGGGGAATATGGGAACCCAACTTCAGGGCAAGATTTTTGCACCTTTACAGTGCAGGTGGTTTGTTTCAAGTTGGCAAGAGCAGAAGGCGAGGTTAATTTTGAAGAGGGGGCAAGTTTGAAAACATTTGGGCCTTGTGTAGATCAGCTCTTATTGAGAGTCATCCCTTTGACTGCAGTGGGACTTGTGAGTAAATATAATTTGGTTTGGGCTTTGTGTTCTCGGAGTGGGGTGACCCGGAGATATTCATTAACACTGTGATGACCCTTAATACATTTCTTTGCGATTGGGCCCAGTGTTGATCAAGAGAACTATTTTTAGGCATTTTTTTATTTTTAGGCATTTTTTTAGATGCCTAGGGTATTAAAAAGATTACAATTCCAGTAACATTGAATATGTATGAATTTTATTTGAAATCTGAATTTGGTTTGTAAGTCCTACAGAAGTCAGCAGAAAGACTATTTTAAAACAAGAGAAAATTGAAATGAAAAAACTTGTAAACGATCGTATTGAAAAGATAAATAGAGGAACACTGTCTAGGTTTGTTTTGGAGAAGGAGGTCCCCCCCCCCAAGTTTCTACAAAGATGGATTTCAGACCAGACACCAAAATGCGTCTCATGTGAAGGATAAACTGCATGTGGTTTGGGTTTTCTTTTTTTCTTTCACTGGCTTTGCACAGTTGTGTTTTCAAAAGAAGAGAAGCGGCTTAGATGAATAATGATGTAGGGTGAGATGATGCCGCAAACGGCCTTCATATGGCCAATTTAAGGCCTGCCCAGTGACATCTACTCTCTTTCCTTCCTTTGTAGAGCTTCAAATGTTGGGACTCTGGGGAAATCTAGCAGATTCTGCTTGCCTGGGTTTGATGACAGTGGAACTTGGTGGACCAGATGTTTTCTTCCTTTAATGTAAAGGGCACAGTGAATGTTGATGCTACAGTCCGTGGAAAGAGACGGCAGAGAATACCCCCCCCCAACCCAGATCTTTTCCTAGGATAAAGTGATTTTGCTTGAATTTCCCGTGATGCAAGAACCACATGAAACTGGGGCTCGTAAAAAGATCCAAAAGTAATCTACAATGCAATCCTAAAATAGAGTTTATGGCCTTCTGAGCTCATTGATTGACAATGCAATCCTATTGCTACTGCATTCTAATCCCCTTGATTTCAGTGGGTTTAGAGAGGAGTAATTGCATAGGATTGCACTGTTAGTGAGTTACATTCTTCCAAAGAGCGTCTTTCTAAGCCCTTTGAAGCCAGTGTGCTTAGAAGGGTATAACTGCATTACAACCACACTCAGATTTTGGGCCTCGGATTAGATTCCAGGTGTGACTCCCAACTGAAGGAATGTAAACGTTAGCATATGGTGGGCAGCAGCTGGCTGTCAGATACCCATTTAGAGAATGAGAAGAAAAGAGGACCAGGCTTTGAGTTCAGAAGCAAAAGTGACTGTTATGGAATTATTGAGTCCTGCTTGTATCACGGATGATAAAAAAACCACATGTGAATATGCAAGTCTAAGCATGAGTAGATCTAAATGCAGAAGGTGTTCATTCTAGTGGGTACTGATCGTTTTCAGGTAACGTAATTGTGTTCAGTTGCCAATAGCTGTTTTGTGGGAATCAGAACATGTTTAAAAGATAAGGGCTGCACTCACTACTGCAGTAAAAGAAGGTGGAATGGGCTTTAAAGTAGCGATGGGGGGGAACCTTCTGTGTGTGTGTGTGTGAGAGAGAGAGAGAGAGAGAGAGAGAGAGAGAGAGAGTGAGAGAGTGAGTGAGTGCAGGACAAAAATGAACTGATATCTCTTCAGCCATCCACAGACTTTGCAAAGCAAGAATCACCCTTCCCCCGCAGCCCACTGAGCCCCTGAAATTTTGTTCCTGGAGTCAGCAGACCCTCAGTGGAAGGGAGAGTATTTTCAGAATGAAGTCACCATTCCCTTTTCTGAAAACTTGAGTGCCCTTAAGGCTTTGGAACTGCATGGCTGGCTCTGTGCGAGTATTTGCCTGCGAGGTACTAATTCAGAATGTTTAATTTAGTTTTTCTTTCTTTCTTCTTCCCCCTAGGGCCTAAACATGTAGTTCTAAAATTTGTGGTGAAATTCTTTCCGCCTGATCATGCTCAGCTGCAAGAAGAGTTAACAAGGTTAGTGTTGCCGCTCGTTTTCGTTTGCACTTAACGGGGAGATACCAACCGAGTGGCAGAGTTGTGCGGTGCTATGGAGTACATCAGGTCAAGCCAGTTTATTAGACACTCCTGCACTTCAGGGTGACTGCGCATCATCTGAGCTTCACCAGTGCCCACTTGCCCTGCACATTTGCATATGGAGGAAGATTAATGGCCTGTGTGAAGCATGTGGTCTTTATTAGCCCCTTCGACCTCTCAGAGTTCTTAACTTGACCTCCTCTGTTTGTTTTCAGCAACAGCAGGGGAGACTAGCATTGTTTTAATATTTGGCATCGGCAGGGCTCTTTTTGTAGAAAAAGCCCAGCAGGAACTCATTAGCATAATAGGCCACACCCAACAGTAGGAACTCATTAGCATATTGGGCCACACCCCTGACAGCACAGCTCATTAGCACATTAGGCCGCACCCACATGTTACCAGAAGTGTGGTCATCCAGCCACACCCACCTTTTGCTTGTCATTCTGTTTACCTTGTTTGTTGTCAAAACCCAGGGCTTTTTTTGCAGCAGGAACTCCTTTGCATGTTAGGCCACACACCCCTAACGTAGCCAATCCTAATGAATTTCTGCTGTTGGGTGTGGTCTGTTATGCTAATGAGTTCCTGCTGGGCGTGGCCAACTTGGGAGCCAGACGGAACTCCGTTCCTGTGCGTTCCCGCCCAAAAATAGCCCTGGGCATAGGCCTGCAATAACTCTGTGATTAATATTGTAAGATTTATTATTTAAAATGTTGATATCAAATGCTCCCCCTTTTCTGGATTTATATTCGTGATACATTTCCAGTGTTCCCAAATATGATAGATTCCATTTGAGCCATCACTGTGTCCTGGTTTCCATTTTTTTCACCTGTATGCATCTCTTTGCACTCATCAGCTCTGAGTTCTTCTTCTGTATGTTTTTCTTCATGATTTCACACTTCTTAAAATAACTCACTGCAAAACAAATCAACTCGGAGAAGCGGGAGAGGGGCGGCAGTAGACTGATGGTTGAAACAGCTAATTGTGTGCCTATGTTCAAGCAAGCCACTCAAATCTCCGCAGTCCTTTTAGCTTCACTAGCAGGTGAGATTCTAGGACAAATATTACAAGAAAAATAACTTAATGGAAGACGTAGATGAAAAACAACAAATGTATGTAAGGGCGCATGGATCCATATAACCTGATACAATCTTTTAAGACGATCTTAAAACTTGAGAGAACCTGAGGTCCAAACCAGGTTAACCACACCATTCAATAATTGCCATGATACAGTCATATTCATTCTCATTCTCTCTTTCTCTTTCTGATCCAGATAATATCATAACCTGTTTCATTCCCATGTTTTTTATGGAGGCATTTGGTATTTTTACAGACCTCTTTTATGGCTATTTTTTGGACTTCCAACATTGTGTCAGTGCCAGCCCGTCCAGTCTTGAGAGCCAGAGTAACTATTGAGGCATCCTAAACTGACGCTGCTATTCTAAACAGAGGCTATACCCCTAGAGTTGCCAGCTCTGGTTTAGGAAATACCTGGAGATTTTGGGGGTGTGGCCTAGGGAGGGTGGGGTTTGTTAAGGGGAGGGAATTTAGCCAGGTATAATGCCACAGAGTTCACCCCCCCAAAGCAGCCATTTTCTCCAGGGGAACTGATCTAGGTCGTCTGGAGATCAGTTGTAGGGCTGCCAAGTCTCGTTGAATCGTGACGGGGGATCGTCATTCTTTACAGGAGCTCTGCCGCGGGGAACGGCAACAGGCGTTGCACCGCCATTGCCAGGATGTGACGCTACGCGTCACTCTGGCAACGGGGCTGTTTGGAGTCCCGTTGGCAGAGCGACGCGTAGCGTCACATCCTGGCGACGGTGGTGCAACGCCTGTTGCCGTCCCCCACGGCAGAGCTCCTGTAAAGAATGACGATCCCCCGCCACGATTCAACGAGACTTGGCAGCTCTAATCAGTTGTAATAGTGGAGGCTGGCAAGCCTACATACTCTTCAAAGTCCATTGGAATCAGTGGTCTTAGAAGGGTGCGACTCTGCTTAGAATTGCACAACTACTGTTCCTTTCCATTTTTGTCTTACTCCTCCTTTGCCCCCAGCTGAATGAACAGGATTCCTGATCTCTGAACGGTTGATTATCAGCTCTTGTTGGGAGAGGGGAGTTAAGAGATGCGTTTCTACATCGTAGCAAAGAGAGTGTAGCAGTATTTGTGTTTTTCAGGTACCTATTTGCATTGCAAGTAAAGCAGGATTTGGAAAAAGGGAGGCTAACGTGTAATGACACCAGCGCTGCTCTCTTAATCTCGCACATTGTACAATGTAAGTAAAGCTCTTTTAACCCCTGACCCTGTTTGTGTTTTGAATTACAAAGTATTTGTTGCCAGGTATACATGGTGGGGTGCATCCTACCACTCCACTGAGTAGACTCTGGGGCATTCCTCCAGAGTCCAGTCTAAGGAACCTTCCTCCAATTTAAATGGCTCTTCTGTTGGAGGAAGAGCCACAAGTTGGTTGGAGGATGGTTGGATCCACCCCAGTGACTTTATGCTGTCCATTTTTAGTTGATTTTCAGCTAAAGAGCCGGTTATGGGAAGAAAGAACTAATATAGTAGCCATCGCTGACCCAGCAACAACAATACTAGCACCTACTGTGTTATTGTTAACTGTTTTTAATATTGTTTTAATTGTTCTATTACAAATAAATGCTGATTTTATGTAAGCCCCCTGAGCCGGCCTTGGCTGGGAGGGCGGGGTAGAAATTTAAGGAAATAAATAAATAAATAATTCATCCTATAGAAGTTTATGTTACAACTCTTTGACAGCCTCTGGTATAGTATAGAACTTCCCCTGACAACTGTCTTTTTAAAAAAAAAATTCTTTCTCCACCCACTGATCATTGGGCTGAATTCATGGTATTGACTATCACACACAGAGTCCTTTGTGGCCTTGGTCCCTCAAAATTGCAGCAGTGCCTCTCCCTCAATGTTCTGCCATGACTAGGGATGGGCACAAACCAGCTGACAAACTAAGTTCATCATGAATTTTGGCTGGTTCATGGTTCACAAAGCAATGTTTGTGAACTTAAGAACCACCACAAACTTTGATGCAGTTTGTGGTGGTTCATGAAGAGCAGAACACGGGAGTTTATCCCTGCTTTCTGCTCTTCACGAAAAACAGCTGTTTGGTTTAAATGGATCAGAGACATGTAAACTAGTGCTTTCTGCTCTTCGCAAAAAGCCACAACAGGTTTGTTAAACGGAACAAGGCCTTCTGAAGGTCTCTGCAGATGCACAAAAACCAACAACTGGCCATACATGTGCATTCTCTGTTGTGGCCCCTTTCTTATGGAATGGCCTGACTGATGAGATCTGGAAAGCCCTCCTGGCTTTTTGCGAACTTTGCAAAACTGAACTATCCATTTTTAACTTAGGTAATAGGGCTGTACTGTAATGACATGTTTCAGAAACATGGTTTGGTAAAGGGATAGAGACTATAGATTACACTACTGTGTACAATACGTAGTGTCTGTTGATCCTACTATGTGATTTCTGCATCATTTGATGTGTCATGTTAAAGCTTGTACTTTGTGTCAGCTCCATTTGCAGATACCTGATCATTTCCCAATCTCTGCAGTTCAAATCTTATTGGTTTGTTTATTGTATGTCCCATTGTGCTGATTGTATTTGACCTATGCTATGTAATCTACCTTGAGACTAATGGAGAAAGACAGGCTATAAATAATGTAAATAATGCAAGATCACAGAAATATGTTCAAGTACTTGTGCTTGGTGGGAAAGGGGCATCGATTTCCATCAAAGCTACTTTGTAACAAGGTTGCTGCTGCCAGTTAACCATGTTTAGCGCTTAACTTTCCCACTGGGACCTGTTATTGTTTAAAGCAAACGTTCGTGACCTTTTTTGGTTATATAGGTAATGGGCAAAGGAAAACTTCTTTTACCCCTGGTAAGTATTCTTCTCTTCTGGTCAATGATAGTTAAGAGCTTACATTGGTATTTAGGGATTTTGAAAACAGCATTGAAAGCTGCTAAAACCGGAAAGTGAGCATAGTCTGTTCACCTGTATGTGGTACACTGTTCCTTAATCTTTTTTTCAACAGGAAAGTTACATTTGTAAAATCAGGAATGTACTGCAAAGTTACTTCGATGTATTGAATTGGCCCAGTTTCTAGGGGGTGGGGAAACTAATGATCTGTCCAACCGTAGGAAGAAATTCTGTGTAGGCTGGGTGTTCAAAGATGAGCATTACCAAGCACTGGGATGTGTCTTATCTACAGAGCATGCAGGTCCTGTTGCCAACTGAGGTGAACCCATATAGGAAAGCCAGAGGTGGCGTGGGGGTGAGAAGAGGGGGAGAGCCAGTGCTCAACTCTTGTTTCACTTCCATCCTCAGTGGCTCTGTACACAAGTATGTTGTGTGTGCAGAACTAATGTTCACTGTTGTTCAGCATAATTGGGTTCCTGCTAAACCGGGATTTGAAACCACGCTGTCATGTCAAATAACAACAGTATCCTGGATTTACTGACTGGCTAGTGTATTTCTAAATCTCAGGGTCAAAACCATAACAACACTTCAAATGGATTTGATATTTGTATCTTTACCATCGGCGTTCACTATCCTTCTGATTACTCTTGTGAAGAGTGGTGTGTGGGCTTAAAAGGGGGTTGGGACCTGTGATCGCTAACCACTGGACTTCAGAGCTTTCTGTCTGCTTTCCAGTACCTTTCTGTTTGATACAGGTAGTGATGAGTGTAGGTTGAAATTTGTTTGGTAGGCGCTAGCGGCAGACCTGTCTCTGATTTTTTTTTTTTGCTCTTGCACTTACCTGCATAAGTTTTAAATGGAGTTTTAATATTTTCTGTGCTTTTCCAAGTGTGATTAAAACAAACGCATTCCTTTCCTTATTAGTATAAAAGTGAATTTACCGTTTCTTTTATGTCTTTGAATCATGTTGTGCCTAAGAATCCAGGCAGCTGGAAAGGGAATCGTTTTGATGTTAATGGACCTTTTGAATCAGTATGCAAAGGGCTGGACATTCATTCTCGTGGATCTTAAGTGGGCTTTTCTGTTTTTAGATTACATCTCTTAAACAGATGCTTTTCTCCCTCTCTAGCTGAGATTGGGGATTTTGATGAAACCATCGATCGTGAACACTTAGCAAAGAACAAGTATATACCTCAGCAAGAAGCATTAGAAGACAAAATCATGGAATTTCATCGTAATCATATGCAAGTATTACTTATTTATCAATGGAGTGTTATAATACGGGACACAATGTGTGTTTTTTGTTTGATAACTTAAGAAGCAGCAAGGTGAGGGGGAGAGGACAGGAATGTATTAGGAGAGGAGTGAAGATAGAATGATAGAGGGCTATCTGATACCCAAATCAGAGAAAAGGAAAGCTGCGGAGGCCGCAGTAAGATTTTGCAGTAAGTGGGCTTGGGGGAGGGAATTGGAGTGGAGGAGTTCTGAGCGTAGGGATTTCATGGTAGGAAACACACGTGAGGGAGGTGAACTGGGAAACAAAGCCTAAATGAGCCTCTATTTTGCCTGTCTTTTGTTTTCAAATTTGTGCCCCACGTTACCTTCAAGGTGACTCTGTTTGAGTAATTCAGGCCACTGAAACATCAACAACGAATCAATGCCTGTTCATTTTTGTGCTGTCGCATAGAAGTGCTTCACAGTGATATGGAATAATTACTTTTAGAGGGTAGAAAACACTCCTGAGTATTGGATCACATACAAAATCATTTAATTGCCCATGAAAAATCTTCACCTTTCACCGTCAGGAGATACGACATCTTCCAAGCTAGGGGAAAATATCTAAAGTTATATTTTGGGATAGGTGGTGTTGCAGAAGAACCGGAAGCACATGATGGGCTCTGCTTCCTGTTCCTTGTGAAGCCACACTCGGTGGTAAAGATCAGTCATGGCAGTTGCTATTCCAACAGACTTGTACCTCAGACAGAAGCATGAAGTCACAGAAATGGTGAAAGAGGCTTCTGAAGTCCTGTTTTACATTGAACGTGTATGCAAGTTTGAACAGGAAGCAGCATCTGCCATGAAAATCTCTAATGATCCTTACCACTTGCTTCATCCTGTGTAAAATCAGTTATCCTTTCCCCAGTGGACAGACACCAGCAGAATCAGATTTCCAGCTGCTTGAGATTGCACGCCGTTTGGAAATGTATGGAATCCGGTTGCATCCAGCCAAGGACAGAGAAGGAACAAAGATCAACTTGGCAGTTGCCCATACGGGCATTCTGGTGTTTCAGGTATGCAAGTGGCTCTGATCAAGCTAAACTGCACACTCCAGAGAGAGTTTGGCCATGAAAGTTGCTTTGGATTAGCCTTGGATACAAATCTTGGGAGGTGCAGGCTTCTGGAGCTGTGTTGTGGCAAAACTTTTATTGCCTCAGATATTTCAACTCCTTTTGCTAGACTCTGGGGAGACTGGGGAAAATGTTGCTGCAGAGGTCTCCCGTACCACCTCCTAGTTCACCGTGACATAGTTGGAGAAACACAAAGCCACCTGGGAATTTCATTGTCCGTATGCATGCGTCCCATCTGTCCGGCATGTGGACTGACACTGATTGCCTTATTATTTCCTGCATGAGCAAAAACACACAGCTAGGTCATTGTAACCAGGGTTCTCCACTTAATGTGGTTTTTTTAAAACAAAACTTTATTGAGAATTTTACAACAGAGAAATAAAAAACAGAAAAAGATATAAAAAGATGTGAGAAAGAAGGGGATATACAAAGGTAAAAAGAAAAAACTTCCATTTTTCTCTACAACAAATATAAATAAAATTGCAAATTTAACATATGCTCTGTTATTACAATCAAATGTTAATTCTTTTTTCCCTACTACTTACCCCCCCCCCAAAAAAAACCTTTTCCCTTAATCATCAAATCCATAAGGCATCAGTTCATTTTTTTCCGTTTCATTCAAAAAGTCTATAAGGGGTTTCCAGTTGACAATAAAGGTAGATAATGTCTTTTCTCTGATCAAAGCAGTAAGTTTAGCCATCTCTGCAAGTTCCATTATTTTCATTAACCATTCTTGTAATCTCACCACCGTTGGCATGTATGAAAACAAAGTTTCATAACTTTCCCCAACTGTTTGACCATTAAACCTAGAAGAAATGTCTCTGGTTTCATTTGTACCTTAATCTTTAAACTCTTCTGAATTGATGCATGTATTTGTATCCAGATTTTTTGAGCCTTATTTACAAGTCCACCATAAATGATAAAATGATTTTTAAAAATGTTGTTCAGATTTCCAACATTTGAGATATATACATTTTAGCTAATTTCTCTGGTGACATATACCATTGGTACATCATTTTATAAAAATTCTCTTCTAGAACTTAACGTAAACTTAAGACCAGCCTTCCACATATATTCTGATTGTTCCGTTTGTATATTGTCCAGGTTTTTTGCCCGTTTTATCATACATTTTTAATTCATTCTTCCTCTGTCTTGAATTTCAATAGTAATTTATACATTTTAGCAGTAGCATGCTCATCATTTGTACATAGTTCATGTTTCAAATCCAGTTTCAGATTGTTCAAAATCATAAGTTCTCTTTCTGTTTTTAACTTTTCTAATAGTTGTGCATAGAAAAACCATTGACAAGCATATCCTTCTATTATCAAATCTTCTCTTAATTTCATTTTACATTCTCTTTGAGAATAGTCTAATATAGAAGTGTCAAAACTCACTTGTTATGAGGGCTGGATCTGACATAAATGTCACTTTGTCAGGCTGGGCCATGTGTGCCATAAAACATAATGCTGGGTACTGGAGATACAAACTGTATAAAGAACAGCAGCCGGTAAGCTCCAAGTTGGTATCCTCACTGCAGGGCCTCATGGGCTGGAGACCTAGCGGTGCAGCCCTAGGCAGATGCTCCCAAACTGCAGACGAGGTTGTTATGCCATGCTGAAGCCACAGTCAGAGTGGCCCTGCCCACTCCCCCCCCTCCCAGCAGTCTCCTGTTCCCTCCCTTGCACTAGTTGCTCATGGGCAGCATAAGAGCCCCGGACGGGCCAGTTCTGGTCCCCAGGCCTTATGATTGAAACCCCTAGTCTAATATATCGTAGTACGTTAACCAATTATGCTTAGCTATCATTTCTCTTCCGTAAAAAGCTTCTTCTGTAGATACCCACAAAGGTGCTTTTGGACAAAACCTAAGTCTGTATTTCTTCCGTATTCTCAGGATGGCGCATCTAATATACTGATTTTTAAAATCGACATTAACCTTAACTGTATCATACCACAAATAGCCGTGCCAGCCAAATCTCAGATTGTGGACTTCTAACTCCAATAACCTTCTGTTTCTCAACAGCACCCATTCTTTCACCCAAACTAAACAACAAGCAGCAAAGTGTAATTTCAAGTCAGACAAACCCAGTCCTCCTCTCTCCCTTGCATCCTGTAAAACCTTATATTTAACTCATGGTTCCCCCCCCCCTGCTATATAAATTTAGAGATATCCTTCTGCCATTGTTTAAATGGTACATCAGTTGTCAGAACAGGTAGTCTGGAACAAGAATAGTATTGTAGGTAAGACATTCATCTTAATCATAGATATTCTCTCCAACAAAGACAATTGTACTTTATCCCATCTTACCATATCTGTTTTAACTTCATTCCACGTCTTAATTATTTTGAAATAACATACAGTTCATATTTGTCAATATAACACCCAAATATTTTACCTTCTTTTCACCCTTAAAACCAGTTTTACTCATCAATTCTACTTGATCTTGTATTTTCATATTATTTAACATCTTTGTTTTCTGTTTATTAATTTTAAATCCAGCTAATGCACCGAATTCTTTCAACTTAGTCATTAATAATTAAGTTCCCTTTAAAGGGTCTTCCAAAACCAACACTGAATCATCTGTGAAGGCTCTTAGTTTGTAAGTCTCTTTTTTGATCTTTACACCCCCAATCCTCTCATCATGTCTTATATCTCTATTCAATATTTCAAGAACCAAGATAAACAAGATAGGAGACAGAGGGCAACCTTGTCTTGTTCCTTTTTGAATCACGCATGGTTTACATAAGTCTCCATTTACAATTACTTGTGCTGTCTGTGATGTGTTTATCAATTTCACCCGTTTAATAAAGTTCTCTCCAAAACTCATACCTTCTAAGATTTTAAACAGCAAGATCAGTTCAAATTATCAAATGCTTTCTCTGCATCTAGAAAAATCAGTGTGGCTTGCTTTTCATAGTTTTTTTCAAAATGCCCCAAAATATTTAAAAGAACTCTTAACATTGTCCTTCAGTTGTCTTTTGGGCAAAAATCCACATTGGTCTTCATGAATAAATTCTTGCAAATATTTTTTTGCAAAAAATAACCATTGAAGGTGTTAATTGACTTTTCAATTTGACTAGAATAAGCAGACAGATTTATTCAAAGTGTCAAAGTAGTAAATGGTAGGTAGAAGTCTGCTTTGATTTTTACAGGTGAGCTCATTCTGAAAAATGTTCACATAATGCTTATTTTATTTTTCTTATCCGTTGTCTTTAGGGTCACACCAAGATCAACGCCTTCAACTGGGCTAAAGTTCGGAAGCTGAGCTTTAAGAGGAAGCGTTTTCTTATTAAGCTGCGGCCAGATGTCAATGTAAGTCTTTGGAATGGCAGTGTAGAATGGCTTGCCATTTTCCTTGGGGAAATGCCTTCTCACTGTTCATGTACCTGACAGAATTCTGAAATCATGGTGACTGCTTAAAAACCTCTTCACTTTCGACATGCAACTGCTGACTTCTCAATACCTATCCCATGGGTTCTGAACTGGTTAAAAGAAAGATTACATAAGAGCTGGATCCTTCTCTACTCGCCAAAGGGCCTTCCTGTCTCAGGTTTTGGGCTCTTTGGGCTTGCCAGTCACTTCCAACTCAACCCGATCTCAGCTGTTTCCATAATGTTAGTGCAATCCCACCCACCACAAAGAAGATGTTTCTTTTGAATGGTTAAAAAAAATAATCTTGGTGTGAGAGCACGGTTCCAAAGGTAGCCTGATGAAGATAGACAGTGGATGAGTAGAGAGGGAGGAGTAGGGACATTAGATGAGCCTGTCGGGAATAATAAATGAGCCTGGGATACTATATTTACTGTTTCCTGTTGTACTTGGAACTTAAGATCAAGTTTCAAGACCCTGCTTGGCTGTGAAAGTTGGTTCATTTAGGTTGGTCTTGCATACAAATAATTTTCTCTCAGCCCTCTGGGGTCCTGTGTGCTTTTCTCCCTTCTTTATCTTGTTAATGATCTCCACTGAGAGGAAAATGTATGTATTTTTGCTTCAGGAGCTTCATTCAGTCTCCTTATGTTGTTTTATGGGTTCACTTTATGGGTTTCTGGATGTAGCACATTTGTTTCCCATCCAATGTGACTGAAATTTTCAGGACTGTGCCCCCCAGCCTCAGGGATCCTCCCTGTCCATTATCAAGACGATAAGAAAAAGAGGGTCCTGGTTTTATAGGCAATTAAATGAAAATATAACACAATCAACAGGTAAACATTAAGGAACAAAATGCCTTTCATTTATTCATTAGTAAACAAACATTCATCTTCCTTCTTCGGTGCAGCACCACTTTGGGCACTGTGCCTGTGCACAGGCCAACCTCAGATAGGAATTCTTCCAGCTTCTAAGCATCAGGGCGCTCCCCTACCTTCTGTAGTCGATGCAATGGCTGTTTCCTGCCTAAACTGTCACATGATGCACCAGAGGTGCAGTACCCCCTTCTCTCAGTTCCTTTTCTGCTGCCACCAAGATAGGAACCTCCTAGTAGTGTTGTATTGTTTGCTTCAACGTCACTCTTCAAAGCGGTTTGAAAGCCTACTGTTTTTGCATGTAGTGTCGAGATTCCTCTTCGTCAGATTTCTTCAGCTTGGCTTGTTTGGTAGGTGAAGTGGCTTTTGAAACCTCTCTCTCCCCCCCCCCCAGCTGTTGGTACTGGGCTCAAGCCTTGTGGCTGTTGAGCGTTTGAGACCTTTTGCCATATCAGTCAAAGCCCTCTTTAAAAAATGCACTCAGTGTGCAACCAAGGACCCCCAGAGTTGACCATGATTTATGCCTGCCCTGCTTGGGAGAAGCCCATAACATCACTGTCTGCAAGATTTGCCAGGGTTTTATCCAGAAAGCCTGATCAAACAGGGCAGCTCTCTAGGAAAGGGCTCTTTCTTTATCGGAACTGCCCAAGTCAGCCCCAGCCACCCCTCAAGACTCTACTGCATCTCGATCCATACCGTCGGTTCCGACCACTGAACCCAGTTTGGGCCCACCTTTGGTTCTGGCAGTTCCATGCTCGGACAAAGCCAGGTGACACCAGAAGAGGGCTTCCTCTAGGGTTCCAGCCTCAGAATTGAGCCAAACGGTTCACCATCTCCATCTTGCTTGGTTTTGGCATATGAGACTTCTGATCCATCAGCAAAAACGGCCAAGAAGATGAAGCACAAAGAAAAGTCAGGTTCCTCCTCCTCCACCAAACATCAGAGAACTGTTTTGTCCACTGCTTCCCCTGCCACCAGGGACCCTGATATTATTCTTGTCCCACCTGGGATGCCATCCATCCATTCCAAATCCTTGGAAAGGTCCATTCTCGAACTTGATTTGGACCAACCAGTCAGTTCAGGTGAGAATCACAGACACTTCTTGTCAAATCCACCAATTCCACATTTTTGCCTCAGCACTATCCTCCACCCCAGTGGCCTCCCTTCTATATGTTCCCCTCTTACTTTCAGCTGTGATCTGAATTCTGTGCACAACGCCCCCAGTTCACACCAGGTCATAGGCTCCCTGTGAGTGACTCTAGACACCATGAGGCTCAGGTCCCCTTCTCACATCCAGCTTCCCAAGACTTCAGAACCAGAGGAAGAGGGCACAGTGGCCTATTGTTACAGTTCCAAAGCCTCCTATACCAGTTTCTTCCAATGAGACCTGTGCCTGTATGGTGAACAAATGTTATGGATACTGAGGTCACTATGACTGATAACAAGCCATGGGATAAGATCTTCAGTTGTCTCTACCCTGACTCTCCCAGGATCGTAGCCTTTCCTGTTCTGGAAGGCCTCCCTTATTTTGCAGCCCTGATTTGGCAGAAGCCTGCTTCAACACCTGCTACCTCTAGATGGGTGGAAAATCTGTAAAAGCCAAGGCAAGATACCTGTGACTTCTTGTTCACCACCTTTTCCCTTGGTCACGAAAGAAATGCAAACATGACAGAGACCTCTACCCCTTCTGATAGGGAGAGTAGGCATTTAGACTCCCTAGGCCAAAAAGTGTATTTGTCTACTGCTTTGAATTTCAGACTATCAAGCAATCATGGGAGGATACCAACTCTTCCTCTGGGAGAAGATCTCCCAATATCTGGACACCCTCCCTGACGAATCTCACTCATTGGCCATGGTTATCCAGGCAAAAGCCATAAGACTCTAAGCAGAATATAAATGCCACAACAGGTGTTGCAGATGCATCTGCCAGGTCCATGACCTCTGCCTTAGTCCTGAGAAGGCATTCTTGGTTATACCCCACTGTCTTCCCAAGTTGAGGCAAAGTGTTGGGTGGAAGACCCCCCCCCCCTTTTGAGGGTGCCACATTTTTTTCTTAGACCACAGATGACTTCCTCTTGACTAAGAAGAAACGGATGGCCAAATCTCTGAGTGTACTCCCTTCATCGAGACCATGTCAACATTACTCCCCTCACCAGCAAGGTTTTGCCACCAATTTCTATAGATTTATTGTAATGATTTAAAGTTTTAAGTTGCAGAAGATCAAAGGGGCCATTTTCTCCAGGTGAACTGATCTGTCAAAGGGTGTGTGTGAAAGAGGTGGATGAGTGAGTGAGGTGATTGGCTGGTGACTGAGTGTATGGACGGAGTTAAGAAGTGTGTGTGTGTGTGAAGAGAGAGGAGTTAACAGTCAGCAGTCTACAGAGTCTGGGAAAAGCAGTCTTCTAATTAGACTCCCATATTAGTGCTGTGAAAAGCTTTTAAGAGTCTAAAAAGAAAGCAGAATACTTTAGAGGACATATTAGCAACTAGAGAAAGGTTGGAAAGGCAGTCCTTCGGTCATTGTTTCAGTGAGAGCATCACCCCACCTCCTCCGATGAATAGCTAACTAAAATCCCAATGTGGGGCTGCACTAAAGACGGATGATGAAAACAGAGTTGCGCTTTCCTGTAACTGCTGTTCATCGACATTTTCTATGCAGACACACATTTCCTCCTGCTCCACTGTGAGCTCTCAACATTTTTTTAATAATAGTTGGTCATTTCTCCTTTTTGCTTCACTGTGGGAGCTTGCGGCGAACTGGTAGGAACTGAGGGAAGGGGGCGCTGTGCCTCCAGATCATGTGATGGTTTAGGCAGGTATGAGGTGTTACGTTGGCTTCGGAAAGCAGGGGCACCCCCTTTGACACTTAGAAGCTAGAAGAATTCCTATCTGAGGGTTACAGACACAGTCCCCAAGGTGTGTCTGCACAGAAGATGTCGATGAACAACAGTTACAAGAAGATGCAACTCTGTTTAATTCTCTATACAGCACAGCCACCAGCCAAATCAGAGGGCAAATACTTAATTGTGTCCATAGTCTTGGGCTTATTTCTCACAGAAGAAGTGTGGTGTGGTGGTTAGAGTTCTGGACTTGGCCTGGAGAGAATTCCTTCTTGCCATGAATGTCACTTAGAAAAATGTCTTCGAAAGTTTTGACTTAGTTAATGTCATTCTTTCACAGTGTACCTCTTAGGACTGTTGTGAGGATACAGTAGAGTAGAAGAGAACCATCTGAGCCACCCAGAACTCCTTGGTGGAAGGAAAGGATGAAAATATAATTGATCGTGTCTGTTGGATTGATTCAGACTGGAGACTAATAAGACTGGAAGTTACCTGCACAGAGATTTCCTTGTGCATAAAATGCTACATGTCATGGGGATGGTTCCGCTAGATTTTTGCCCCTGACATTTAGCTGTCTATGTAGACAGTTTGTTTTTGATGGAGGAGTGTTCACTCACGATTCAGGCCAGATATAAGTCTACTACCACAATGAAAACGAGATCCAATTCTTTGTCACTTTGCTGAAGTGTCTGTTCTCCTTATTCAAAATGAAGGCAAGTTCTTATTTCCTATGAGCCTTCTCTACTCGGAATGTTCTTACTATTCTAAAATATTGCCTGTCACATCCCTTTGTAACATTACACAAAACAAATGTTTTAAGACTGGCATCAAATCAGATAACAGGATTTGGGGGGGAGGTGAAGTAGGTCAGCAGTAGAAATGATTAAGCGACTGCTTTAGGAAATCAGAGACAGACGTGTTGATCTAACTGAAGGGCTTCATACAAGATATTGCCATTATACTGACATCTCTGGGAAGTTATAGCTTATCATGTGTCTTCCTCTTCTCTAAAGAATAACGCAAGTGGGCATCCTTTCAGCTGCATCCTTCTTTCCTGTCTAGATATTTTGCTGTCTAAAGAAAATATGATAGTCGATTCAAAGTCTATTTCACTCTTAAAACATATCTAAAAAATAGGTCCCAGCTTTGTTTTTTGTCAGTAATTTATGTAATGCCAATGTCCTCCGGTTTTGTGGTCTAGTGGGAAAAGTGCTGGGACTTTGTTCAAGAAGGTTGAATGTGGTGGCATTAAAATGTATTAAGGAAGACAATCTGCATGAAACGTGATGAATCTGGAGCAGGGTTGCCATCCCCCTGATCGGACCTGGGGATCCCCCAGTTTCGGGGGGCCCAAACTGCTGCCAGCCAGCTGACTGGCAGGAGAAGCCGCACCCCTGAACAGCAGCATCCCACACAGCTGCCATGATGATGTCATGGGTAGTGACGTCATCACGCTGGGGCCGTTGTGCAGCGATGCTTTAGCATTCGGGGGGGGTGGGGGTTCTATGGTTACGATACAGTTTTTGCCCCAAATGGTAGAGCATCGCCACACAACAGCCCTATCATGATGACGTCACTACCAGTGATGTCATTGTGCTGCGTGCACGTCACACGCATGGCAGAAAAGTCACGAGGAGCCAGGAGGCCCCCCCCCCGTGCCACCAGAGCAGTGAGACCTGGCAGCCGTAATCTGGGGGGGGGGGGGCCACTGTCCTGCTTTGATTACAACATTGCTCTGACTACACTATCCCTTCTCCCACAATTCCAGTGTCAAACCTACTTCTGTTCTCTTTCAGAGCTCCTTTCAGGACACACTAGAATTCCTGATGGCCAACCGGGATTTTTGTAAGGCCTTTTGGAAGATATGTGTGGAACACCATGCCTTCTTCAGACTCTTTGAGGAACCCAAACCAAAGCCTAAACCTGTTCTCTTTACTAGAGGTTCATCCTTTCGGTTCAGGTAGGATATAATTTTATTATTATTTTCTACCCTGCAAATATACCTGAGGGCTGTGTTCACTGGTCCTAATATGCTGAAAGAGGGACTGGATTTTTTTTGGAGGGGGTATGACTCAGTCTGCATTTTGCATCCTCCTCTCCACAGTTTGGTGCCAAGTGTTGGCTTCCTAAAAGCACAGTGGATTCTGAATACGAATGTTCACTTTATTTGTTTATGTATTTAAACATTTCAGTGGTTTGCTGTCAAGGAGGTTTACACAGAATACACACAACAAACTTCAAATTTGTCCCAGCTGCTGTTTGCTGCTCTTCTAAGGCTGGGGGGAAACAGTGATGGGGGAATGCCCCTCCGTCCTGGGAATAGACACTGTTATTCTAAGATGTGATCTCTCTCCAGCTAAAGCTGAATGACATTGGTGGTTCTTTTCAGTATGAACAGCACAACTGGAGGTTCTGGGCTAGAGGGCAGTGATACCAAAAACCTTTTTCCCCCAGTCCTTGAGCGACCTTACCTTCCTGATGCCTCCACTGCTTAGTGGAAGGAACCTCTCTCCCCACATACACACCAGCCACATAAAAAATGGGAATATCCTTAATTTAAATACCCCAGTGTAGTGTTGCTCATGGGGGCTTAATGAGTGTTGACTCGATGGATGATTCATAGAAGTACGCGAGGGAGAAAAACGAGTGTGGATTTATGGAGGAATTTGGGGGAAGGGTTCAGGAGTGGAAAGTGGGAACCATAGGAGTTCAATCTCTGCTAAAGTTGGCATGAGATGAAGTGGACACCATCCATAGATGTTAGGCACTGTATTGCCATCAGACATCAGAAAACGTTTCCAGGACTAATATTGAATGTACTTGTAATGGGAAACCCACAGTGAAGAAACAGTGTCTGAACTAAGTTAGGAAACTATGGGTTGGATCCAGTGCAATGTTTCTGAAAGCACAAGGACTTCTACCCATAGAGTTTGACTTCCTCAGCACTGCCCCCCTTTGGCAGCCTGAAGTGCCCCACAAAATCCATTTCCAAGGTGACCCCTTCTTCCCCAGGAGAAAGGATTTGCGGGGCATTTTGGGTTGTAGTCAGGGGTCATTTCGTAGAAAAAGAGGAGCTCATTAGCATAACTTGTTTGCATATGCCACACCCCCTGACATCACTGGAAGTGTGTCAGAAGGCAACAGCTCAGGCTCCACTGGACTGTTTTGGATTGCTAGCTATTGGGGGGGGGCGGTAGATCTGTCCTCGCAGAGGAGGGAGAGCTTGTATCTGAATAAAACTTGGTCTTAAAGGTACCACTGGACTGTTTTGGACCAGGGAGAGGGGGGGAGCTCTGCAACTTACCTGGCTGCTTCTTGCTCTGACTGAGGGCTGCTGGGAGCAGGGGGTGGGGCTTGTTGCATGTGCCCGAGCTCTGCTCCTGTGCGCTCCTGCAGGAAATGACCCCTGGTTGTAGTGAGTAGGCTGGGCGCAAAGGAAGTCATAGTATGTGGATGGAAATAGGCTCCTGTGGGTGCAAGGACGTCCATCCACATAGTAGAAAAGCGTAAGAGACTAGTAGCCCCTTAAAGACCAACAAAATTTGTGGTAGGGTATGAGCTTTCGTGAGTCACTGCTCAGTTCTTCAGAAGTGACTCACGAAAGCTCATACCCTACCACAAATTTTGTTGGTCTTTAAGGGGCTACTAGACTCTTACGCTTTTCTACTATGTGGATGGACGTCCTTGCACCCACAGGAGCACTGCACTGGATCCAACCCAGTGTCTGTTCCATGGAGTACACGGGGCAGCTCCAAAGTAGTCCATAAGTGGGAGATGGCTCAGTGTTACTGTATCTCAGAGATAAGAAAATAGGTGTTCCCAGGAATTCCTATTGGAATGGAAATTGGGTCTCAGGTGCGGCAGCAGAAGATGGGAGAAGCAGGGTGAAGACTGGAGTTAAATAAGCAAGGAAGATAACGCCATAATGTAATAGAAAAGGGAAACTGGCACCGACTCCTGTATCCTTGAATATAACAGACTGGTCAGTTGACAATATTTGAATGACCATCCCAGGCCTAATACTTTCTTTATGCAACAAAAATGTACAAAGCAGTATTCTCACCTCCTGAAATGCGCCTGGAGCCAAACTTGTTTGTTTGTTTGATTAGATTTGTTTGTACTATGTGCGAAGGAGGAGAATTGGCACTATATGCGAAAGAGGAAGAAAAATATGAATCCCTTCGAACTGTGGGGCAAGAGAAGGGGGGGTAGATTTTTGTGCTGTATATAACACAAGAGAGTTACTTTTAATGCTTTTGTTAATGATACATAGCTACACTATGTATATATTAATTCAAAGGACCAAGAAAATTGTGCTTTTCTAGCCATACCTGGTCTGGTCTTAGCATGCCACTTGTTATTCCAGCTCAGTGTCAAAGCATTTTTTTCCTTTGTGTTCACACACACACACACACCTCCACACCATACTTCTTCAGCTTGACTTGTGTGGGGTTTCCATTGCATACTGAGCTTTTCATGCATATTTTTGGTATTGCTGAGGATGCAGTTTTTGAAGCATGTAATTTGTGGTAGTCATTTGTGCTGATCTCCACATTTCTCACTGAGTATCCTAGAAATGTATTCAGCCTTGTAATAAAAGCCTGCCAGGCGCATCTTTAACAAGTAGGGATCATTTTATTGCCTGCTAGATGATTTCCTCCCCACCCCCCACCCCCCAAAAAACCCTAAAATAAGTATTTCTGAGAGTAAATGTTTACTGTTGCTTTCAGGGGGTGTGTCTCAGTGACAGAGAACATAATTTGGATTCAGAAAGTCTCAGGTTCAGGTTTTGCTTCTCCAGCTAGAAAAGGATCCTGAGGATTCTTAGACAGTTGCTTTAGGAATCTCCTGTAAGTCAGGCTTAGAAGCACCAGTGGTTTGATTCAGTATGTCCGTATCTGATTATTATTTTTTTGCCTTTCCTGTTTTAAGTTGTTTGTCTAATGAAAAATTTTAGCCTAGATATTTGCATTGGCTTGGATACCGTAAATGTGTTCTGCTAGATAGTCTCTGCTGTGGGGCACGCATCCTCTTCCTCTGTAACTTCCATTTGTGCAAAGACAATGGTTTTCAGTGTGTGCTTGTGCAAGCGGAGGTTTTAGCACAAGAGGAAGTGTGCTCTGTGGCCAAGACTGCCTAGCATTCACAGAACTTTTTCATAGGATCCCAGTTATCATCTTCACACTGTTTAGTTTAAAGCAGTATCACAGTCCTTTTTGAACAGATGAATACGAGATTACCATTTGACTTATCAATTCTCCAAGGTCTTTTTTAAAAATTGCAAGTAGAAGACCGAAATCTCTCCGTCTCATCAGCACTTATTTTTGTTTCCTATTTCCTTAACTGGCTAGAAATATAAAACTGTCTTTATCTGATTTCTTCAGTAAAATTTTAATCTGGCTTTTATGAAAGCAGGTTCATAGCAGAAAAGGAAAGAGGCATTTTACACGTGGTTTCTTATCAGCTGAACATTTGTTCTACATGGTTGCTTAAGGCAAAAGGGGGGGGGGAATCTATAGATTTGGTTTATACATTTTTGACAGTGGACTGAGTACTCTGCTTTATTCCCAGGGCTAACCTTTTTCAGGCCTTCCCACGCTTGGCGGATTTCTTCCACGTAGATCAGTTTTATGTAAACGATTGCATACAGTGCATTGTGCGTGATGAGTATGTTTGTGCTTCTCATGCCACATGCTTATGGGACACAACGCCCTGATTTAATAGCTGGCTTCTACAAGTGTGTACATATGGCAAAATGGGCAATAGTGTAACTTGGGGTAGGGAGATGGTGGGGCATGCATTTTAAACATACTTTGGGCAAGGAGCAAAATGAGTACATGTAGTACGTTGATCTTTATTTAAAGATGGAATTTAATGTTGCGTTCTGAACTGCAAAGCACATTTCCAATCCAGTTATGAACCCACTCTAAGGCTTAGTGAGGGAACCAAGGCAGGCAGAGTTGGCACAATGTCAGCATCTTGTTAGCTGTGTGTCTGCAGCCCAACGGAGCCAAGCACGTTTGTCCCTTGCATTCTGTTGGCAAGAAAATAAATAAATAAATGATGATGATGATGATGATGATGATGATGATGATGAAGAAGAAGAAGAAGAAGAAGAAGAAGAAGAAGACGACGACGACGACGACGACGACGACGACGGCTCTGGTCGGATAGCATCATCCTGAAAGATTTTTGGTTCAAAAGTTTCTGAGCTGGAGCAGTTTAAATAGTGACGATTTGGACAGCAGTATCCAGAGACGCAGTGTAGTGTAGTGGTTAGAGCATTGGACTAACATCTGGGAGGCCCAGGATTTAATCCATACTCACTGGGGGACTGTGGGCCAGTTGCGCTGTCTCTCAGCTTAGCCTCCCTCATACTTTCTTCTTCTAAGGATGAAAGAGAGGAGGTAAAAACAATGTTGTATGCTGCTTTGGCTCTCTGGTGGTCAGAACAGTATAGTACAAGTGGAGACCCGCAAGAAACGTGCGGGATGGTTATCCTGTTCCTCACGCCTTTGCTTCCTCCTGTCTCCCCCTACCTCTCTCACACT